GGGTGGTGTGGCTGTCCCAGGGGTGGCCTTGGGCTGGAGTGGACTGCTTTGCAGAGGTGTGGTGGATACAAGTGGCAGATTCTTGGCCACAGGCTTGGAGAATTTGCCATTACCAGCCCCATTTTCAAAGATTCTGCCCCTGACGGGCAGGGGTTTGGACAGCAAGGACCTTGAGCTGAGCTTGGCTTCCTTCTCTGCCGATGAGGAAAGCCGGGCCTCCAGCTCATCCCGGATCTGCCGGACACTGGGAGTTACGGAGTCTTCGGGGCTGTAGTCCACAGCGGGGAGGGTCAGGCTGGTGGTGACTTCCTTCTCTGGTAGGCTGCTGCCGTAGGGACTCTTCTCAGGAACACTTGGGGGCAACTCTTTCTCTGGCAAGCTTGGGGGAGCCTCCTTCTCTGGCAGGCTGGGGCCCTTCTTGCCCTGAGAGGCCACTGTTGGGCCTGGCCTATGACTGATGAATCGGTCCTCTCTCCTGGAGCCACAAAGATAGGCTGCCAGCTCGCTCCGCAGCTTTTCCATCTGGCTGGGATCCCGCCAGTCCACAGGGGCTGAAGAGGCTGTGTCCTCTGGGCTGGGTGGTTTGGGTTTGGGAGCAGAAGAGCTAGATTTGGAGCTTTTTGGAAACCCAGCAAGTGGAGGGGATGTCTTCTCAACAGAAGGCAAAGGAACGGCAGCTAGGGGCAGAGGGGGTGCTGGGGGTGGGAGTGGGGGTGCAGGAGGGGGCAGGGGAGGGGCTGGGGGTGGAGTCCTAGCATGTTCATTTGTCCGGGCCTGGGCCTGGCCCAGCCTTGGGCTGCTTGGTGCTGCTGCTCTGAGCTCCCCTGGGCTGTCTGGCTCAGGCTCCCCGTTGGGGTAGGCTTGGAAAGCAGGGCGGATGTGGAAGTTGGAAGGCAGTGGGAGTTGGTCAGGGACTTTCTTGGTGGCCCCCTCTGCCTCAGGGGAAGCCCCTTGTGCTTCCTGAACTGGAATGGATGAAGTCCTGACTGGGGTTGGCGGAGGCACCTTGAGCGAACAGGGGAAGGTGAGGTGGAGCTCTGGCTTGGGTCCCAGGGAGCTCCCCTTAGTCTCAGCAGGGCTCCTGCGGGGGCTGGTTCTGGAAACTGGTGGCTGCCTGCCATTCAGTGCTGCCTCCGATTTCCACTTGGTGATCCCCCCAGGAGGAAAGGGGTGAGGCCCCGATGATATGTGAGAAGACATTGGAGCTGGGGGTGCTGGGGCTGGCAAAGGGGGAGGTGGGGGGGCTAAAAAGGCCGAGGGTGGCGCAGGAGGAATGAAGTCAGGAAGGGTGGGTGTAGATGGGGAGGAATGGGTGGATGGGGGACATAGGGCTCCCAGTACTGGAGGAGGAGGTGGGGCCATGCTGGGTGGGGGTGGGGGTGAGGGTTCCAGCAGCAGGGGAGGTGGTGGGCAAGCTGTGGAAGGTGGAGGTGGGGGTGGGGGTGGGGACTCCCCTCGAGGTTGCAAGATATCTGAGGGTGGCCCTGGGGCTGGGCCCGGGGGAGGCGGGGGGATGAGTAAGTCCTGGCCATAGTGCCCAGGCCTTAGGTCCCCCACAGAGCTGTAAAGTCGGAGGTTACCATTGACGAGAGAGCTGGTACCTGAAAGAAGGGAGAGGTAAAGATGAGGAAGGGCCTTGGCAATCCCTATTCACCCATGGCAGGGTCGGAGGGCACCCAAGAGAGTAACCGGCCAGCTCCATGCCTTTCCTCCTGAACACCGAGTGAGGGGCAGCAGTGTCTCCAGTCTCCTCAGCTGTCCTGGGGGTGACCCTCTTCCCTCTGGGGAAGGGGCCCTGCCTGTCCCTGGCACAGTCTTGGGAGCCTGAATTGAATATTCTCCATTTGCCCCTCCAGAGGCACTCTCCCCCTTCTCTGCCCTGCTCAGAGCTGGGCTCCCTCACCCTCTAGCTACAGGTGGGTTCAGCCAATGGGAGACAAGGAGATCCAAGGGCAGAGTAAGGGGGTGGGAGGATGAAGCCCTGGTATTTATTCCCTGCTCCTCCCAGTATCTCCCAGCTGGGCCACAGGTTGACAGCAGCTATCTTTCTCTACCATAGACCACAGTTCTGTTGGGTAGCCCCTCTCCCACAGCTACAGCCACAGCTCAGGGATAGTAGCAGCTCCTCACTGTTGCCAGTCCTTGGTGCATCACTGTCCACTTTGCTCCCCTTAACCCTACTTACACTCTAGTATAACTCTTTTTGGTTGTCCCCTTTTAGTGAAACAGTGTGCCATCTGTTTCCTGCCAAGATCTCGACTGGTACAAACCCAAAAAGACCAGGGTTCAAATCTCAGCTCTACCACTTAACAAGATGTGTGACCTTGGACACACTAATTAACGTTGCTGAAGCTCAGTTTCATCATCTATAAAATGGGTATAATATTAGTGCTTACCTCATAAAGCTGTTGGGAGGATTAAATAAGAGAATTCATGTAAATACATGTAAAGGGCTTGTCATAGTGCCAGGCTCACGTTGTTGTTGGGTACCCTCCAACTCATAGCAACCTCATGTGACAGAGTAGAACTGTCTTATAGGATTTTATTGGCTGTAATCTTTATGGAAGCAGATCACCAGGTCTTTTTCCTGCAGAGCTGCTAGGTGGGTTCGAACTGCCAACCTTTTGGTTAGCAGCTGAGCACTTAATGGTTGTACAACCAGGGCTCCTTGCCAGGCCCATAGTAGGCACTTAATAAATGGTAAGCACTTTGACTTATACCACCTGTGCTTAACTTTTCGGCCCGTATAAGACAGACATGGGAAGTGGAGGAGAGATCCCCAAAAAACCACTGCCATCAAGCCAATTCTGACTCATAGCGACCCCATAGGGTTTCCAGGGCTGTAAATCTCTACAGAAGCAGACTGACACATCTTTCTCCCACGGAACCACCACTGGTGGTTTCGAACCACAGACCTTTTGGTTAGCAGTCCAGTGCTTTAACCAATGTGCCACCAGGGCTCCTTGAGAGAGATAGGAAGTCATAAATCAGGGACAGGGACCTGGGGACCTCCTCAGTGAGGAAGGTTGGGTAAAACAACTGTCCTGTTAAACCAAACCCATTGCCATTGAGTCGATTCCAACTCATAGTGACCCTATAGGACAGAGTAGAACTGCCCCATAGGGTTTCCAAGGAGCACCTGTGGATTCGAACTGCTGACCTGATTAGCAGCCATAGCTCTTAATCACTGAGGGAGCGATTTGCATGAACAGCTTTTTTGGCCTCTTTTTTTTTTTTTTTAATTGTGCTTTAAGTGAAAGTTTACAGTTCAAGTTAGTTTCTCATATAAAAACTTATACATGCATTGTTATGTAACCCTAGTTGCTCTCCCTATACTGTGACAGCACACTCTTCCTTTCCACCCCGGATTCCCCATGTCCATTCAGCCAGCTCCTGACCTCTCTGCCTTCTCATCTCACCTCCGGACAGGAACTGCCCATTTAGTCTCATGTATCTACTTGAGCTAAGACACACACTCTTCACCAGTATCATTTTATGTCCCACAGTCTAGTCTAATCTTTGTCTGAAGAGTTGGCTTCGGGAATGGTTTTGGTTTTGGGCTAACAGAGAGTCCAGGGGCCATGTTTTCTGGTGTCCTTCCAGTCTCAGTCAAACCTTTAAGTCTGGTCTTTTTACTAGAATTTGAGTTCTGCACCCTACTTGTCTCCTGTTCTATCAGGGACTCTCTGTTGTGTTCCCTGTCAAGGCGGTCACTGGTGGTAGCCAGGCACCATCTAGTTCTTATGGTTTCAGGCTAATGAAGTCTCCGGTTTATGTGACCCTTTCTGTCTCTTCGGCTAATATTTTCCTTATGTCTTTGGTGTTCTTCATTCTCCTTTGCTCCAGGTGGGTTGGGACAAATTGATGCATCTTAGATGGCCGCTCACTAGCTTTTAAGACCCCAGACGCCACTCACCAAAGTGCAGAACATTTTCTTAATAAGCTTTGTTATGCCAGTTGACCTAGATAGCCCCTGAAACCATGGTCCCCAGACCCCCGCCCCTGCTACTCTTGTCCCTCGAAGTGTTTGGTTGTATTCAGGAAACTTCTTAGCTTTTGGTTTAGTCCAATTGCACTGACGTCCCCTGTAGTGTGTGTTGTCCTTCCCTTCACCTAAGATAATTCTTGTCTGCTATCTAGTTAGTGAATACCCTTCTTCCTCCCCACCCTCATAACCATCAAAGAATATTTTCTTTTGTGTTTAAACCTTTTCCTGAGTTCTTATAATAGTGGTCTTATACAATATTTGTCCTTTTGTGACTGACTATATTCACTCAGCATAATGCCTTCCAGATTCCTCCATGTTGTAAGACATTTCACAGAATCATCATTCTTTATCATTGCATAGTATTCCCTTGTGTGAATATACCATAATTGGTTTATCCATTCATCCATTGATGGGCACCTAGGTTGTTTCCATCTTTTTTGCTATCGTGAACAGTGCTGCAATGAACATGGGTGTGCATATATATCTATTCTGTGACAGCTCTTATTTCTCTAGGATATATTCCAAGGAGTGGGATTGCTGGATTGTATGGTACTTCTGTTTCTAGCTTTTTAAGGAAGCGCCAAATCGATTTCCAAAGTGGTTGTACCATTTTACATTCCCACCAACAGTGTATAAGTGTTCCAGTCTCTCCACAACCTCTCCAACATTTATTATTTTGTGTTTTTGGATTAATGCTAACCTTGTTGGGGTGAGATGGTATCTCACTGTAGTTTTGATTTGAATTTGTCTAATGGCTAATGATCGTGAGCATTTCCTCATGTGTCTGTTAGCCTTGGTTTCTTGCTTTCTAAAGACCCTAAATCTACTAAGAACACAGCTTTCCCTCCTCACAGAGAACTTTTGGACCTGATTCTGGACTACAGGATGGAACAGGGTACATAGAAGGAAGGTGACCTGGACAACCTGGGTGCTAAAGAGGTGCTGGGCACCCTGGCCCCCCGGCAGCTCAAGCCCCTCCCTTATTTGGACCCAGTCCCCAGCCCCCTCCCCAGAGTCTGGTACTTCCCTCTTAGGGGCACAGCCTGTATCTCCCCTCTGTCAGTTCCTAGCACAGAGCTAGGGGGAAGGACAGCTCCCCATGGCGCCTAGGAGCTGCCTGACTTTCAAACAAAGAACAGACTTGAGAGGCCTGTACCTCCTGCTGGAGTGAGGAAGGGGGAAACTAGCCTTCACTGAGCACCGAAGTGTCAGGCACCGAGTTAGGGGCTGGGATACAGCGGTTGAAAACAAACAAAGCAAAAATCAGACAAAAATATCTGCCTTTCTGAAGCTTGTGTTTAATGGGAGACAGACAATGAACATAATAAATTAGTCAATTATTACCACATTAGATGGTGAGTGCTATGGGAAAAAAGGAAGGATCCCTGGTGGCGCAACAGTTAAACACTCAGCTGCTAACCGGAAGATTGGTGGTTCGAACCCATCTGGTGGCTTTGTGGGAGAAAGACCTGGCAATCTGCTACCGTAAAGATTACAGCCAAGAAAACCCTATAGGACCGTTCTACTCGGTCACATAGGGTCAGTACGAATCAAAAACTGACTCGACAGAACCTAACAACAGCAACATGGTGAAAAAGCAGGGAAGGGTACTGGGTGGCAATTTAAATAAGGTGGTAGGAGAAGACCTTACTGAGAAGCTGACAGTTGAACACAGAAGAAGTGAGGGAGTGACGGTACAGATGTCTAGGGGAAGAGCTTTCTAGTCAGAGAGAACTGCAGCGCAAAGACTCTGAGGTGGCAACGTGCCTGGGGGATTTCAGGAGCAACAAGGAGACAGGTGTGGCTGGAGCAGAGTGAGGCAGGGAAAGAAAACAGGAGACGAGGCCAGAAGAGGCCAGGTTCTGGCAGTCCTTGCAAGGACTGTGGCTTTTCTTTGAGTGGCGCGGGAAGTCTTGGTGGGTTTTGAGCAGAGGTGTGACATGAAGTGACTTATGTCCATCCAATACTTCATTTGCTCCTCAAGAACTGAACTTGTTCCAGTGTTCAGTTGATGATATAGAGGTGCAAGGAGTTAAGTGATGTGCCCAAGGAAGCAAAGCTAATAAGTGGGGAAACCGAAATTCGAAGCCAGGTCTGCCTTCAGAGTGCTTTCTACTGATGCCACCCTTGTTCCTGCTCTGGCCCTTGTCCACTCACCATCCTTCCCACACTGGAAGTAGGCCTTAGCCAACCCTGCCTCTCAGCTCCCAGCCCCACTGCTTCCACCCGTGGCAGCCAGTAGCCAAGCGGCCTGAGGGCCACAACAGTGGCTGTGAGTGGGGACTCCAGGTTTATTCCCAGCTGGGGAAGTAGGTCAGATGCTTGGCTTTTGCATTCAGGGCCCAAGGAGGAAAGAAGCAAAGATGGGCAAGCCCCAAGCCCAGGGTCCTCTTACCTGTCACATCTTTGTCTGCAAAGTCATCTGGGACAGAAGGGGTGGGCACAGCCAGCCCATGGTTCTCCTGGGGATTCTGAAAGGGGCAAAGAGAGAGATCAGGTAACAAGGAAAGACAGACAGATTGTTCTTAAATTGCCACTCTGCGAGGCCATCTTACTGCTCGAGAATCTGCAGTGACTGGTAATGGT